TTAAAATAAATCAAATTTTTTTTATAAGTATATTTTCAATTAGATTATTTTCAGTTTTATATACAACACTAATTAATTTCCTTTACAGTATATACAGATATAAGAAAAGATCTTTAGAACTATACAAAAAAATTTACCAGTAATACTAATTTGCTCAAAACAAAATTTAAAATTCTTATTTTAATCTAATTTTAAGTAGAAATAAGTTAAATACGTTCTTCGTTATAAATGTCATGACTGTTAAAAAAGTGAAATCTCTCAGAATAACCATTCATTAATTAAATTTAAGCAATTATTCTTTTTAATATTGCATACATCAATATGAAGAAGTTCCAAGAATTTAAAAAAATCATATTTAAAAAAAAAACATTTAATAAAATTCAAATTTAGTCCATTATAGAACTAATTCATTTTTACATCAATAATATAAATAAATGGGCAATTAAAAAAAAAATTAAACTTGTAAATATGTAATAAGTCTGGTACCGTACATATTTATATACCAGACATATAAGTATATTCTAATTCTTTGATACCTTTGACTATTAAATTTATACTAAACAATTTTAATTTAATATTTATATTAAATTATACCTTTAGAACATCATAAAAATGCATGGATTAATAACTATTGATTAGAGATTACAGATATATTTCAAAACTACATTTTATTTAATACATGTTGATTATAAAGTAGAGCGTCATTTATCCAAAAGTCAGTTATCCGAAAGAATTCCAGTTGGCAAATTTAAATTTTCGCTAGTGCTGTGGCGCTGCAATCTTTGGCTATATCTTGCGCTATTCAAATATTTTACGTTTTTGATACTAAATTAACTTCTGAAGTATAATTTTTTTTATTGTTTTTATATTTTTCAATATATTTATTTCGTTTGTACAAAATAAAGAATTAATTTTTAGCGATGCAATAGCCACGATTATCATTTTAAAAAGTTTACGTTAGGCTTAACATCAACGCAAAGCGACACGCAACGGAGAAAAATTTCAGGATGGGATAGGTTAATATATTTTTTTGTACATAATCGGTTATCCGAAAAATAAGTTATCCAAACAATGCCAGTCCCCAATTGATTCGGATAAACGACGCTCTACTGTAATTCAAAATTTCTTACATTTTCTTTAAGATCATTTTTAAATATTTGTAAACCAATAAAAACTCTCTAAAATTTTTATTACTATAGCATAATTCTAGCTTTTAATTAATGTCAAAAAATAAAAATAATAATCTTAAGTATCCATCTAAATGCTAAAAGTGTAAAGCAAAAGATGTTATTCACACATTGCATCTTGACAACAAAACTATATATTAAAATTTTATATTTAAAACTCAAACTAAGATATTCTATGAAATCCTATTACCTCAAAAGCAGAGAAAATTAAAATAATTTTCATTTTTAATATAGTACTTGTCTTCATAAATTATATATAATGTAAATAAATTACTAGATATGTGGTAGGAGCCAAAATTTTCCGGTCTAACTATATTTTAAACATGATAGGATCAGATAGTGCCATCTGCATATAGACTAATAAAATAGTTATTCCCGATAATTCGCATAAGTCACTTGGAAGCATTCATTTTAGTTAGACTTGTTGCATTAATTTGCATCGCGTTCACCTCTTGCAGGACAATGCACCACTACACATGGCTGCTATTGCCAAGGCTGCTGTGAAGGAGTGTGGGTTCAAGGAGCTTAACCACCAACCCTACAGTTCAGACCTGGCTCCTAGCGATGATTATCTGTTTCCAAAATTCAAAAGTCCTTCAAAGAAGTGATAAAGTTTGTTGCAGGAGATAGTTTATGAGCATTTTGCAGACAAAACTGTGAACTATTTTTTCAAGGGTATTGAAATGCTATTTCCAAGATGTAATAAGTGTGTTGAACTGCAAGGAGACTACATTGAAAAATGATATCATTGTTTTATGCCTATAACATCTAAAACATAGGCCGGAAACTTTTGGCACATACCAAGTATATATCTTCATTTTAATTAAATGAAAATTCTAAATATTAAATTCAACTGAATTAAATTGTTAATTAAAAACATTTTTTATATAATACTAGCTGCAAGGACACGCTTTGCTGGGTTTTTATTTGTGGGCAAAAAGTAACGATAGTGAAGATTAAGATAATTACATTATAGCCAATCTTACCCATTTTCACAAAATGCAAGAATTAGGTCCCCCGTTTCCAGACTAATTAGAGAATTTTTACGTCCAGTCAAATGAACTATTTTCAATTTGATCAATTTTCCGGAACGTTTACAATCATTCTATAGTCAAACCAATTCGAATTCAAAAATTTTTTAAATCGAAATAGAAAATCTTCCACTTTCAAGCCCATATCTCCCACACCCTTATAGCTATCAAGACGCAACCACCATAGTGCACGAATGGAGACTTGGGGCTACTACCACATACAAACACCATTCATGTGCAATGTGTAGTTTTGGCTGAAAAGTGAAATATAGGGACACACACGTCCATTTATATATAGACAGATGAAAAGCGTAATTATTATAAATTTTTGCTAGTATGCAAATTACTGAATATATTGTAGTATTTCTTTAATGCAATATAATGCAAATAGCAATATAATTTAGTAGACAGTTTACAAAGTTACTATTGGATCTTTTATTGAAACAATATAAATTAAACCACCATAAAAACTATTTTGGTAACAACTTCGGTTTATATTAAATCCAAATGACTACCGGATTAAATCAGGCTACATTATACTACTAATAATTATTAAATACTGAGTAATTTGGCATTAGAGGTAAGCATTTTGTTATTAAAACTAAGTTTAAATAGAAAAAATTTTTATCTGATTAATAATGTCTATATTTAATTCGACGTATCTAAATTTGCATACAAGCACAATAAAAACATGTACCAAATTAGAATTAAAAAAACATTTGGAAAAAGTTGTAAGGGTTATTAATTTAGATATTATTATATTTGATTACTTTTTAAAATATTCTCATAATAAATGCTTAGGTAGAAAATTTTTGTCAATAATGCAATTTAAATTGATAGTTTATACACCATAAATATGCATATTTGTTATTACAACAGAATGCTAAAAATGCAAATATCTAAACATTTCAAAAAATACATAAATCATTAAATATAATTAATAAATTTTAACATAATATGCTAAAAAATTATAACTTTGTTTTAAGTAGATTTAATGTTTAAATTTTAAACATCATTTTCAATATTTTGCAAAATTATGAGAATATATTAAATATAATTTAAAAATTTTTTAAATCTTTATTATAAACTAATAATAAACACACATCTACTCAGTGAAATTTGTTTAATACATAAACATTTCTGGCTATCATCAGGCTTGGAAGTATCTGAAAATTACTTCTTAATTAAATTTTTAAATTTTATAGTTTTAATTTTACAATAATTTTAATGTTTAAAAGCAGCTAATTCTTTTCTGTGTATTTAAATGTGTATATTCTATACGTTAAATGTTGTTCTGTCAGTTTCTATTTAAGTATTCATTCGAAGCCTGATGACAGTAAAGGCAAACTGAAAGCATTTGTATATTAAACAATTTCTACTTAGTAAAGGTGTGTTTATTATTACTTTTATTCACACAGAGCTCTTGATTTAATGTTTATTATTACAATCATTCAAATACTTGTTCATAAACAGGACTTCAACAAAATAATTTTACTAAATGCTCCTAATGACAATCTTTTAAAATATGACAACTAAATATTAGAATTAATTAAAAGTGCTCATTTTCATTCCACTACAAATCTATTAGCTTACTCTTTAATGAAAAGCAAAATTTACTAATTTAAAAATATGTGAATTGTATCAAAAAAACGTTAAATACAATTTCTTGTATATAAAAATTGTATTTTGATCAAAATAAATTCAAATAAAACTTTTTTTTATGAGTTAAAAATAATTTTAAATTTCTCTGTTTAACTATTTAATAACTATTCAGACCATATGTTTCTTCTACAAGAATTACAGAATATTTATTATCTTTTAAATTACGCTTATTAATTATTGTAGAGACGTGTTTGATTTTACCACAAACAAACATTTCAGAATAAAATAACAAATAAAATTCATGCATTTATGTATTGTAGAATTAATTAATCAAATTTTAAATATATATTTAAACTTTAAAAAAAAAATTTTTTTTTAATTCTGATGCATTCAAGGCCAAATTCTATCTAGGACTGTCATAAATTTAATGCAAATATACAGGAAGAAATTGGAATAATTGATAACAATCAACAAACAAAGCAAATTTAACCAATATACCGTTTAAGTATCCGAGCCATTTAAATAGATTTTAATACGTCGAAGGTCAACTCAAATCGTGTATTTTTATTCAGCTTTAGACGGGTCATAAATGTATATAAAATGCAAAAAATTAAAACTAAGATTAAGTGCATAATTTATACAAGTCATTAATTTTTTATAAATCATCCAAAAAAAATAAAATAAAATAAAATAATGTTAGTACCAGGAAGTTTGCAATTTGAGAGAAAAAGATGAATACAATCATCATTAAATGGAAAATATTGTTTATTATGATAATTTAATCAGTTAAAATCGCATAAATAGCAATTTTTTTTAACATAAATACCCTTTATACTGGTGTACTGTTTCAACACTGTATGGAACAAAGTGCTGTGTTATGTTTTATTATATGTACTGTGTGTAATTGATTTCGGGTATTGTGTTACGTCAAGAAATTTTTTAAAATATCACACACTATCGCGCCGAAAAAAAAAAACACCTGATGAATGTATACGTTAAATAAAACATGCGGGAGAAGCGATTTTCTTTTAGAAATTTAACAGAAATCCTTGTTTGAAGTTAGGCCTAACGGCAAGTTACAGCGCTAAGCCTAAAATGAAGGTCGTAAGGAGGTTGGCGGTAACAAGACAGACAGACAAACACACACACATCGGATGTATAGTAAAAGAACGAGACTCACGTTCCTCTCTCGCAATCGTAGATGACGATCGAATCGTCGTCGCTGCTAGATATTAATGTCTCTCCATTCGAAGAAAAGTCTATGCTGTTTATACGATCGGCATTCTCGTTGAAAACTTTAGCAATTCGGAAACTTTTCACAACGTGATCTACCAACTTCATGTTCATCTATGTACAAAACTTAACAACAATTCACATCTTTTCCTTCTTCCCTACTGTTTATCTCGACGATCTCAATAAACGCGGAAAAGACACCCACCAGGGGGCCGTGCTCGATAGGAAGAGGAAGGCAGGAAATAAAAACAAACATGCGTATACCGATCCAAAAGAAAACGTGCTGTTCCCTCATTGGTCAGTTTTAGAGGATGGATTAAAAATCCAACCAATGATCGAGTATATTATAAAAATGTTTTTAAATTAATGAGCGAAGTGAGTCATATTGACAACAAATCGTTCGCGTTTGCATTATTATTATTTTTTTTATTTTTTTTTATTTACACTTAACAAAATTGATTTTAATATCGCTCTAATATAAAATATATAAAATAAAATCGCAGTATATTTATTTATTAAACTTCATCTCAATGGAACCAGTTTGTAATTAAAACTTGAAATAAATAAATAAATAAATAAAATGGATTTATTCTACCAGTTTTACTGCTTTTACAAACAAACAAAAAAATAATAATAAATTAAATAGTAACAGTTATTCTTTAATTTTTTTTAACGCGTTGGCATTTTTATAATGTTTTAGCCATACCAAAGGTCTCATATTTCCAATCTCAAATTTCATCTTTAAAAGAAATACATCTGTATTATTGAATATACTTTTAAAACTATAAAATTCTTATACATTTAAAAGGCTCTTATCAACGTTGTTTAATTTATTATAGATTTATTTTAATAAAAACAGCTTATATATTATTTTTATACAGAAAAACTATGTGTATAAGTGTATAAGAATTTTATACAGGTAATTTTAAAAGTATATATATGCAATAATATAGATATATTTCTTTTAATAATGAAATTTGAGATTGGAAATATGAAACCTAGACTTAAACATTATAAAAATGCTTACATGTTTTAGGAGAACCATGTTCTTTGACACTTACAAAATAATTTTATGATCATTTAGAATAAACAAAATTAAATATAGCTTAATTTTGATTTATATTATTGTTTAAAATAAAATACTGTGTTTAGTCTATGATAAAAGTTTATGATTTACTTTCTTTTATTTAAGTTTTAAAGAATTATTAAATTTAAAAAAAAGGAGAAAATGTAAATTAACGCGCACAATTGGATCCTTTTTTCCCCTATATTTAATTGAAATTCTTGAAGTTTTATAATTTTATAAGTTTAAATAAAAAAAAAATCTTAAAAATTTAACAAGATAAAATATAAATTATATGATTTATTTTTACAATTTATTATTTATTTTTTAGTCAATATTTCCTGATTAGTAAGAATTTCGAATGAGGACTAAGGAAAAGTTATTATTTATTTCAATTATGAAGATAAGTGAAATTTAATATTTTCAAGATGATAAATTATGTTTATGATAATTAATTAATATAACTTTTATTATTTTTGAAAATTATAATCCTTTAATTAATTAAAAATACACTATTGAATGAGATAAAACAGATGTTTGATGAGTATCTCATACATTAAATACATAAATTATCAATAGGATATGGAATGATTATCGTCCAATTGGATGGGAAATTAGTAATTGATCTTGACAAATTTTAACAACTTTTATTAAGTACAATTAGTGAAATCTCATTGTAAAGTTAAATTTTATCGACTTTTTTAAAGTTATTTTATCTTATCAATACTGGATTAAACTTCAAATGTACTAATTACATTTACTGCAAATTGGAAAAAATGATAAGGTTACACATTTATTTTTTCTTCAGATTTTTGAGATTCTAATATGTTAATTTAAAAAAATTAAATCAAGATATACCTTATGAAAATAATTGAACAATATCATTATAATATTGTAATATTGTACGTTGGCCATTCAAAAATTCTTGGATTAGGATAGCAAAATGGTTTATATGTTTCTGAAATTACTTTTATTTTTCAATATAGTCTCGAATATTATCAACATATTTTGTCCAAAACCATTATGCCATCCCTAAAGTGTGGACAGCAACCACGAAGGTCTGCAAAATAACTGTCTACTGCCGCTATCACCTTCCCATTTGAAGAAAATTTCTTTGCAGAAATAAATTTTTTCAGGTTTGAAAGTAGGCAAAAATCCGATGGAGCTAAATCAGGTGAATAAGGAACATGTGGCAATAAATCGTTCTTTAATTCATTGATTTTTTCGAACCCGAGAGCACTTCCGTGAGCAGGGACTTCATAAAAGATGACTTTTGTCTTTACTAATCTTGATCTCTTTTCTCGAATATTTTTGTCTAATTGGTTCAAAAGGTTAACGCAGTACTCTCCTGTTATTGTTTTACCCTATGGAAGTAATCTATTAAAATAACTTCTTTAGCATCCCAGAAAACCTATGCCGTGACTTTTCCTGTATGTAGAACCTCCTTTCTTCTATCGTGCCGAGTATCCATGTTCTATCCATTGTGTTTGACTAATCCTTTGTTTCTGCTGTTTAGTGATGGACTCAATTCCCATCTGTGGTAAGAAATGTGCTACAAAATTGGTTGTACAGTACTTTTGTTCAAACGGCCCACACACTCCTGAGAAATTTGAGCACTGATGCGTTTTTGTTCAATTGTTGTAACAAACGCAGCACACATCTTGTGGTTAGTTTTATCTCAAATATAGTTTAGACTTAAATTTATTCTTTACTCAAAATGTCCATGAGATGCTTACAGCTTTAGTCATGTCGGATATTTTTAATCGTCATTCTTGCAAAATCATATCATAAACTCTGTTAATTTCTGGTGATTATGGATGTCCACTGTTACTATATTTTTCATATTTGTATGGATTACTAAATATATTGACAAAGTATTTAATAATTGCACAAAATTCAATTTTTTATTAGTTGTAAACAGCGCAAAACACATCTTATCTAAACAGATATCAACAATAAAGTCAATGATAAAATGACTTCAACTTTCACACATGTTAATACTGTTATATTAATATGATCTAATATCACAGCACTAAACTTTCGATTATACTGTACTATCGACATCTATACTTCATTCCGAGAACTTTTTGAATGACCTTTATACAGTATATTATACTCATATTACTTGTAGTATTATTCGTGTAACTAAATACAGTATCAAACTCAGCATTTTTAAACATTTAATGAAACATCAAACATCTTCTATCGCTGAGAAATGTTTATTTAACGAAACACTAACGTTTTCAGCCTGAGGCCATCTTCAGGTGTAATGAATTCGAACGTATTTTAAAATTTAACGATGGAACGTCCAAACATTATACATTCAAATTTAAGACGAAAATAATATATAAATTAACAAATAAATAACAAAATAAAATAAAAATAAAATAAAATAAAATAATGTTAGTACCAGGAAGTTTGCAATTTGAGAGAAAAAGACGAATACAATCATCATTAAATGGAAAATATTGTTTATTATGATAATTTAATCAGTTAAAATCGCATAAATAGCAATTTTTTTTAACATAAATACCCTTTATACTGGTGTACTGTTTCAACACTGTATGGAACAAAGTGCTGTGTTATGTTTTATTATATGTNAATACAACGATATAAATAATATAATAAAATAAAAAAATAAAATAAAACTGCATCAAAATATAAGGCATGTACAGTACGGTCTAAGAATTTTCATGTTTTAATTTTTCTTTTATGCAGAATTTCCATGCAGAATCTACTTCATCCGCATCCCTGGCATTAATACAACCATTCTTTAATTTACTTTTATAGATTTCAATTTTTTCTTCGTGCAATGCTAATGATGGTCCTGATGATAGTCGCTTCACTTAATTTAACTACAGAGTCCTCTGCTTGTGCCATGCTTGACAAAACTGTGTTGCAGTACCCTTTATTAATGTCATATTTGAGCTCCTTAAGTCTAATAGATTTAATTTACCGATCCTGTTATGAAGCTTTAATGGAATTTATGCTCCACATGAAACCGGAGGTTGATGCATTTGCGAACGATATGATGGAATTAGCCAAATTAGTATACTATGAGTCCTCCTTCAGTTTCGAAAAACAAGCATACAGACAAAAGAAAGGGGTACCTATGAGAAGCCCGATGTCAGGATTATTATGTGAACTAGTTCTACGCAACTTAGAGAAACGCATTATTAATTAATGGGTTCAGAATGGATATTTTATTTTACATAAGATATGTAGACGGTGTGTGCATTATTTGGAAAAAAGGCAAGAGAATACACGAGTTCGTACAAGTAATCAACAACAGCAACAATGATGGATTAAAACGTAAACTAGAACAAAAAAGTCATGAACGGTTACATTTTCTGGATATACAGGGTGCGGCACCAAAATCGGACAAAATACACATTTTTTTCAATCATATTTTTATTGCAAAAAGTGAAAAGGTTTACAAATCTTTTTAACCAGATTGTTTGTAAGGCTGTATTTACTGTACTCCAGTAAGTTACAATAAAATATCTATCTATCTATTGTTTGTAAGGCCATAAAGAATAAATTTACTCAATATATCCCGCTTCTGCTTGAATGACCACTTCCATTGTTGGTCTGAAGCGTGCGCAGCCGCGCTTTAATATGTCACGGTCCATATCGGCGAATGCCGCATCAATAGCGGCTCTCAATGATGCGAGGTTTGGATGACTGGACTTGTTCGTGACCTTTTCAACTACGCTCCATACATAGAAGTCCAAAGGATTCATATCTGGGCTGTTGGGAGGCCAGAATTCTTTCGACCAAAACATGTCGATGTCCGACAACCAATTTTGCACCAAATGACTCTTTAATTGTGTAAGACTTGTAGCAAAGGTCCTCCTCGACGATTCTACGCATAGTTTTCTCGCTCACACCAATAACCGACGACAATTTTCGGATCGACTGACCTGAATCCTCAAAAATCAGCTCCTGAGCCCGTTGAATAATTTCGAGTGAGTTTTCCTCGCTCGAAATCATTCAACGAAGGTGTTGTAAAACCTTCGTTGGACTTCTCCGACTCATTGTACTTTGCGAGGACATCATAAACAATCGATCTCGGGTACCCGAAGAACCGAATGATTTCTGTCACCGAGCGCCCAGCGCGAACACTTTCGATAATCGCGACTCTTCGGTTATACTCCGCACTTGATTTCAACATTGCGAATGTTTCGAGGTTATGGTGATTTAGTACATGTGTCAAGATATTTTAACGCCAAACACAACATCTACCAGCGGTACAGAACGGCGGGAATTTGAAATTGAATTTTGTCCGGAATTTGGCGCCCCACCCGTGTAGACATCCAATTGAAAAGAGATTGTATAACAACGGATATTTACATAAAACCAACACATAGTCCACTTTATATTCCTGCTAACTCGAACGACCCGTACGGATACAAACTGTTTGCTTTTCATGCACTCATTAGAAGAGCGTATTCATATTGATCTAATGTACTAAACAGGATGAAGGAGATTAATAGAATGAAAGAAACAGGAAAACAAATTTGGGATATAAAAGGAGTACAATAGAAGGACTAATTAAAAAATATGAAGAAGGCAAAAAATTAAGAACCCAAACAAATCCGTTAAAATCGCCAAGTTGATTTATAATAAAAACATCAAGGACATCATGAAACAAGTATCAGACAAAAAACAATCCAAAATAGTTTTCAAAAGAGCTAATTTGTATAGTATTCTCAGAAATGATAAAGACATGTTTAAGAAAGAAGAAAAAGCGGGCGTATATAAGAATTCCATTTGAAAATCAGCAATTAGCAATTATGAAGGACTATATTGGAGTCACAAGAAAGAATTTAGCTATTAGACTTAAGGAGCACAAATACAGTATGACATTAATAAAGGGCACTGCAACACAGTTTTGTCAAGTATGGCACAAGGAGAGGACTCTGCAGTTAAATGAAGTGAAGCGACTATCATCAGGACCATCATTAGCATTGCACAAAGAAAAAATTGAAATCTATAAAAGTAAATTAAAGGATGGTTGTATTAATGCTAGGGATGCGGATGAAGTAGATTATGCATGAAAATTCTGCATAAAAGAAAAATTAAAACATGAAAATTCTTAGACCGTACTATACCTGCCCTTATTTTTGATGCAGTTTTATGTATTTTATTTTATTTTATTATTTATATCGTTGTTGCTTCAGTGTATTTAGTATATTTTATTTTGTTATTGTTAATTTATATATTATTTTCGTCTTAAATTTGAATGTATAATGTTCGGACGTTCCATCGTTAAATTTTAAAATACGTTCGAATTCAATTACACCTGAAGATGGCCTTTTCTATTAGGCTGAAAACGTTAGTATTTCGTTAAATAAACATTTCTCAGCGATAGAAGGTGTTTGATGTTTCATTAAATTATTCATGTAATTGCTATTTTCGAAATGTTAACTCTCAGTTTGATGCAATTCTTCATATGGGATAGGAATTTGAATTGATGGAATACGCAACACAGGCGATCTGCTAAGGGACTGCTTCCCAGAACTTTCTTTGAAAACCCTCCATTTAGATTAGACATACTAAGAAAATCCAGAAAACTCCACACGGCCAGCCCGTTAAATCATTTCAAAATTGTTATATATTTACTGTATATATATTTAGTCTTTTCGCTCTGTGGGTACTGAGAATGTTTTTTAAAATCATACGCATTAAAGATTTCATCAGGTCCACCATAGGAGCGACCGAGTTATGGGTATTAGGTCTGACATACAGGTATCTATATCCAAGACTTCTTGGCTTATTCGCTCAAAATCATTTCTGGCTTCTTCAGAGCGGTAGCCTGACGCCTTAAGCGTCGGTCATTCGGCCATCATATACAGTCGACTCCCCTATAACACGGTAGATACGTTCTGGTTTCTATGAAATCCATTTTCTACGAGTCCTTAAATACATGAGCCAATCACAGCCCAGCACGTATGCAGTTTACGGACTATGGCTATTTGAAAGGTTTCTTCCATAAAATTAATCGATTCTTGACTAATTCAACTCAACATTTCCAAAATACGTATAATTTTATGGGAATAATCCATATAAACTATGCTATAAACAAAAAATTGTAGGATTACTTACTGAGTGTGCACCATTCGACGACACCATTGCTTAAGCTTGTTTTCGTCGTGGAGCTTGTAATCGAATGGCGCTCGCGTGCTTCCTGATAAATTACTTTTTTTGCGAAAAATTCACTGAACTTTGGAGACATCATTAATATAAATATAATTTTTATGTACGTTAAATAATAAATGGTTTTTAGTAGGTCCGCTGCTCGTTTAAACTCAACAGTTTGTACAATATCCTCTATTGGTCTAGATTTGACCAATCCTGTCGAGACATGAGTCGCCGATGACGTTTTACCGAATTATACGAATTTTTTAGCGTGTTTGTACGAATACTGTCGCAATTTTTTCGCCGTCATATAGGAATCCGAACTATATGAACCCGTGTTATAGGGGGGTCGACTGTATATAATTCGGTGATTTCATTTATGGTAAACAAATACAGTCTTCTAAAGCTTCAGTTTACCGCTCCAAAAGATTTAGATTCAAATCTAGGTCAGATTTTCAAAAACTGTCATAGGTTTTACATTTTTGACGTTTTTCGTCTAATGGTTAACAGAAGAGACTTTTTATGCCCATTGTGAATTTGGTCAGGCCCACAATGATGAAGTTGGTCAGAGACGAAACTCGACATATCCAGCACAGACCATCGTTAAAAATTCTTGGGGTTGCTCGCCTGACTTCGATTCCGAGTCTTTCAGAGGTAACGCTTCAATCGCCTCAGCTATTTGATCGTCACGGCATGGGTTTTAAAAATGCTTATTTGTTGGAGATTGTTTATTGTTTGAACGTATGTGGCATAATATAAGTAATTAATTATGATGAATTTATCCATTATCTCAGGATTTTTTCGCTTTTCAATACTAACGCGTGATGTTTTTTAAGCTATTATTTAATTGTGTAATTTATTACTGATACAAATTATATAAAATTTATACGGGTGTTACAGACGTGGAGAAAACCCTGAAAACTCCACTTAGCCAGCCCGTCCTGTCGAGGCGCGAATCCACGACCGAACTCCCAGTGTTCAGGGAACGGAACCGCTCGGCCAATGGTGGTCTGAAGGGCTTTTTTTTTTTTTTTTTTAACAAGCTTATTACGGGTTCGGCCAGGCCCATAATGGGGTGACCGGATGGTGAGGAAAAAGACTGTCATATCCGGACGGGCCACCTCGAGAAATTCGACACGTTTAATTTGATCCCGGATCCACAAAAGCGGTAGGCCGCCACACTATTCGCTCGGCCATCCGGCCGTCGGATTAAAGAAACTGCTTACTTTATATTTATTAACAGTACTTTTAGTTTGTGTTAATTAATGATTAAAAAATATTTTAATTTCGTCGTATAAAAATAATATAACGTATACAATTCCAAGTGTGATGATTTTGATACCAACCATCCAATTTCAAACTTTACAATTTTAATTATTATTTGGTAATATTAATTGAAATATTAAATTTGACAATTTCTATTTGAAATTATCGAATATTTTTAAAATTATTTAAATAAATTATAATGCAAAATTAATTTCGAAAAATATCAACGTTATTTGGTTTCGTTTGGCTGATTTCGTCTTCGACTACGTCATATCCGCTTTGATGATCATAAGCAAAGAGAGGAGAGATAGAGAGAGAGAAATAGACGTGGCGTTGATCTATTATTTTATTTAAAAAAAAATATATATATATATAAATTTTTTCTATTTTTCACTCGCTAAGGAACAAAAACTAAATATGGGATTGACTTTATCTAGCATATTAACACGTTTATTCGGAAAGAAACAAGTTAGGATTTTAATGGGTAAGTGTCTTTATTTTCTTTATTAAATCTCATAAAAATTTGAATTTTAATCACGTGATAACGAAATTGATTATTTTAATTGTTTACTACATAATAATAATTATATTGTGTTATAATACAATGTATTATATTTGAATATGATGACGTGTATGTTGCGAGAAGCTATGAAAATTGTATTCAAAATCCATAATCTCACAGTAATTTATGTTGGAAATTCTGTATTAATTTTTGAATATTTGAAGGAAAACAATTGGTTATTTTTTACTATTGTTGGACTGAGAAAAAACAAAAAGCAGTGAATCATCAAATTATTTAATTATTTCCACCATGTTAACATTTTTAGAAACTTAAACGTGTCAAAATAAATTACTGTGTTGCTTTCTAATTAAAAAAAAAAAAACAATCAGAAATGCTATGTAAATCAATACACATCTTAATTAAATATATTTCATTCTTTTTTAATTAAGTATAAACATTTTATGGATTTAATTCTGTTTTTATATTGAATTTTTCAGCTGGATTATGATTTTTTTGTTTTTTGTATGTTTTTATGAAATATGCAATGACATTATTGATCAATAGATTGTTTATTTGCTACTTAATCAGATTTACAGTTTTTAATATAAAACCGATCAGGGGTGGCCGGTTTTGCAGCTATAGGAGGTAATTCTTGTTCAAAAATAAATGTAGTGACAAAAAAGGGCAAAGGAGTGTTTCTGTATTTAATTTTATTTAATACGATTAGTTATTAATAATAATATTAATAACTAATGGTATTAAATATATTTAAATGTTATATTTAATAATAATTAATAAAATTGTTTAAGCCGGAATTTAAAATTGAATAAAATGGTTTATTGGAGCAAAAAATAGAAATTTCATGTCTGATTACAGCAACATTTTGAGTTTTTGTGGAGTTTTGAACTTTGTTTAGCCAGAATATTTTTTTATTAATGGATACAATTCAATGATTATATTTTATTAATACAGTAGAAGAGAAATGTGTCCTTTATTTAAAATTCTTATGCATATTATTGAAATAAATTACTGTAGTCATGTCTTAACGTTTAAAGTATACATGTGAGATAAAACATATGATATTGTTTAAATTTATTAATCATAACAATGTATTTTTTTTTCAAATATTCAGTATTTTATTTTAAATAATGTAGTTGAACAAATCAGACAATAACTGAATAATACAATATTCTGAAAGAAGTAACAAATGATTAATGCAATTAAATTGCAATTTATCCAGTAACTAATGGTTGTATAAAATCATTAATTATAAAAGGATTCATATATTTCCTTTCAAATTTTAGTAAACATTTAGTAGATACATTTAATATTGTTTTAATTGCTCTATATCAGTTTTCAGTGATGCATGAAGTGTTATATTCAAAATATATTTTTGTGAATACAATGTGATTAGATTCTGAATTTTGGAAATTTGAAGTTGAATCAAAATTGAAATATTTTTTGATCAAGAATTTTTATTACATAAATACAATCTAATAAACTACTTGTATAGATCTTCACAATTTACAGGTTTTTATGAAACATAGGGTTTAATATTCTGAACTTGATCCCTACTTTTTATTTATTAATTCTAAAAATTCTCTTCTTTGCACTACAGGCAATACTATCAACTTCAATTATTCTCTTTTCACAATAATATATTCTTATAAACTTTACCACTTACTTTTAATGCTAATTTGGTTGGTATTATTATTAATTCATAACAAAAAAATTTAACATAATCACAATTTTTTTAAATGTAACTTTAAGTTCTTGAAATAATTTCACAGCAAGCATTGTTACTTTTTACATTGAATGGTTTTGTTTTGGAAGCAATGTGTGTTCTTCCAATATAAAATTATTCACTTTTTTTTGTTATCAAACAACAAAAATTAATGACTGTTTTAAAATTATTTATTTAATAAATAAATTAAAAATACTCATTAACTAACTTTATTTAAATGTAAATAATTTTAAAAATTAATTATTTATTTCTAAATTAAATATTAATTCTGTTACAACAACAATACTTGGGAAGTGATTGTTAACTATTGATGCTGAACAAAAAAATAAAATAAAGGGACTATGTAAAACCACTAAACACATGGTTTATGAGTTCATGTCTGATCAACAGGCTGACTATATAAATTTCTTTGTGTTTTCTTCACACATGTAAATGGAGGTTAGTTTTCCTACAAAACCCTTCTGTGAGGCACTTCTTCCTTTTGGCAGATCATCTAGTTATGCATTGCCTTATTCCAACAATCTGATCTGAAGAAATAAAAAACAAACTCTGGTTTCAATAATTTCTCAAATAATAACTTTAAAAAACTCCTCAAAAGCTGGAACTTATAACCAACAAGAAACCACCTTTCCTACTTTTTCCAGCAGTTGTTATAATAAAATTGTTTACTAGAAAAAGAAAGGTTGAAACACCTTTCTTTTTCTAGTAAACAATTTTTGTTATTTTAATAACTTTATTTTTCGTATTCAATATTTTGTTTTATTTATGTATTAATAATTTGTACAGGCACAGCTAGTTAATTGAAAAGTCATATTCTTCTCATTATTACAAATTATACCACCTTCTTATAATACTTCTAATTTAAATTTATTTTAAATTAAGAATTAGCTCAGTAAAAATTTAGCAGTTTCTTTATATTTAATAAGACCAGATCTGTAGTCTATTCTATTAAGCATTCTTTTCTCTGCTCAATTTTATTCAAAATATTTTTTTTTCCCAAAACATGCTTTATACATATGGCAAATAACCAAAAGTAATTGCTTTGGTAGATATTAATTTATAGCAGCAAAATCTTTAATAACTAATATTTTCAGTCATTTTTAAAGATCTTCCTCAGGTTAGAAACTTTAAATCAAAGGATATGGAAAATTGAATGATTTAGAAACTCTCCATAAATAATGTAGAACAAAAAATATAAGAATACCAAACCATTTTTAAATTAAGATAAAAAATAAGAAAATAAAAATAAATAAAGACAAACAATAGAGTTAATACATACACATGACTTTCATATACATCTGAAAAAAAATGAAACCTGACTTGATTACCTGTTTTACAAAAATACTAAACTAATTATTGTAAAAATCCAAATCTTAATATACTTTTGTTTTTCTATATTTATAAATTAATATATTATTTCATACATAAATAGTGAAACATAGTTCACAGATATCAGTCAGGTGTCCAGATGTGGTTAGGATTATTGTGGTTTCATAAAATGATTCTTGTATTCTGTATTAAGAGATAATTATCCTGCAATAAGTATTTTATAAAATTTTATTATAATTATCTCAAACAAGTGTGTATGTGCTGTATAAACTCACACACACTGTTTGCAAACAGTAGAATCAAATAAAGCAAAATAACATATGCTAAATAAAATTATTAATATAAGAGAGAAAATAATGAACAAATATATTAGTAATGTAAAAAGGATTAAAACATAGGCTATTCAAACACTAGGGCTCAAATTCTTATCTTTAGAAAAACATGAACATTCATGCTTGAATTTAATGTTTTTTTTTTTTATAAAATATATTTGTTAATTATTAATTTATGGATTTCCTTGGAATTCTCTTTACATTATATTTGATAATGATAAAAATATATCTCTTATAAACAACTGGAACAACTATGAGTATATAAATATAACAGTATACACAAAAAAGGATAGCAGAGTGCAAGTAGAGATAATTATATTGAAATTTTATGAATTACCTATTGCAGGATAATTATCTCTTAACGTATAAAAAGAAGAGTTATGATTAGGACCAGTCTGATTTCAAAAAATATCTGGACACCTGATTGCTATCTATGAACCATATGTTTCACTATTGATATTTGAAAAGTGATGATAATGTTAAGCTTTAATTTTTCTATGTTTATAAATTATCAAGTTGTTTGTGAAATATATAATTATTATAAGTCAAAATATTAAATTAATCAAGTCATGCTTCATTTTCTGAGTATAAAAAAATGTCTGATAGGTATGACACATGTTTTGTAGAAAAGGAATTTTGTATAAGACTATGGAAAAAAGAATATTTAATAGAATGGACTTTACTTGTATTATATGTTATACATATACAGTATGTCTTGATATTTTCCTTATACATAGATGAAACATATTATTATAAAAATTTAAATTTAATGATAAATTTAATTGTATCTTACTACTACCCAATTTGATATAAAAAACTAAATTAAAGTTACTGTCTATTTCTTTCATATATAGTCATAGTTAGTGGACTTTAGTACTTGTAATAGCGAGGTAATGTTAATTAATTTGTATTTTTAAGTGTATTTGTATACACTTGAAAATGAGATTATGTATTGTTTTGGTTTAAACTTTTAGGCTATTATCATAAAGCTTTTTATATATTTCCAACATTGCAATTGAAAAATATTAAGTAAATAAATATTTCAGAATAACATACCAATCTAATGTTAAATTCTAGTAATTTGCAAAAAACTTATTATCTTAACACTTGATTAATTATATTTAAATTATAATTAACTTTAATATTCATTTGACACTATAGGTAGGTGGGTTGCTATCTTTTGATAATTTCAATGATAAGATATTTTTATGAAAAGCTTTAATTAAATTTAGTAACAATGACTTGAAACAAAATTGAAACTAATATTCTTGAATTTATCTTTATTTGGATCTAGAGAAATTGTATTTAAAAAAAGTACTAATTAATGAAAGTGTTTTTATTGTTAGTAAATTGTTTATTATACACTTCACTTTATCTAACATATTTTGATTTATTCTTATTTATGTTACATAATTGTGCAATTATTTTCTCAAATAAAAACCTCATAACAAATTTAATAACTTCATTATATTTTAAACTATAGACTTTATAAAATTTCTATAATATTTTAATATTTTATTGTAGTTTTTCATATCATATAAAAATTTTAAAGAATTTAATGAAATAATTTTTTTTAT